GTACTTTACGGAAACGAAGACCAACCGTCGACCTTTAATTTTTTAAAAAAAAATTCCACCAAGAACATAACATGGAAGGAAACAGAGAAGGAGCTCGGTAGGAATAACTGTCCTATTGTCCTTTCCGGCCAGCCCTCACTCAGGGTTCACGTTCGCACCTGCCGCTCAACAGGTATCTACATCTAGAGGTACCGTAGTCATAGTAGAGGTAAGCATTCATTTGTCTACTAGGCTATGCTCCTGCCGCCAAATAACTCTACGATATTGGAAAGACTTCCCCTCCAAGCTCCAAGTTCCAAGCACAAGGGTCTGGATTCATCAACGGTTGAGTGTATGCATGACTTTGCCTCGGACAGTCGTCTGCCTTACATGTATGGACCCTTGTCTTCCTGCGTTACCTGCTTTGCCTCACTGTAGTGTAATCCGACAGCATCTGGCGGTATCTGACATGAAAGTCCGAGAGATTCTATTGTGTCTCCGAAGTCTGTAAAGGCCTAGAGGTAGATGGTTCTAGAACGCACTGTTTCACAGCATCAAGATTCAAGGGTCGAAATCCTTACATCTACCCCAGACTGTGGCATTGTGATGGTCTGGCTAAATCCGACTGCCGGATGACTGCATAGAGGCAGATCCTTGTCTCCTTGTCATGCCTGCTCACACAGACGTTGTATGCCAGATGTTGTGTAAGGTAGAGGTTCACACGAGACAGTGGTGACCGTTGACTGGCTCCCAGAATCCGGGGAAGCGGGTGGTACAGCTTGCTGCACTCCACAGATGCGAAGGGGGTGGTACAGCTTGCTGCACTCCACAGATGCGAAGCGGAAGTTAAAAGTCAACGGTCAACTGACACGTCGCATATCTATCGTACTACCGAACGGTGTTACCCCTGACTACTTAGGTAGGTAAGTACCCCTTACGTAGGGCTTAGTCGGGCGTCAGACGAATAAACGAGTTCGTCCCCCCGGTTGTACACTGTATGTACGACCCTACAACCCTCGGCCTGTTCGAACGTCATGCTGTGAGACCCTGTCAGATGAATAAACGATCTTCCACAAACAAGCGGCGTCATTGGTAGACTTTAAAAGAACAGATGACTGGAGCTGAGTGTCTTACCGCCGTCAACATATGTTGTGGACTGATGCCAGAGAGCTGCCATACCTACAGCTACAGCTGCCGTGTGAGACGAAGGAGCTGATGCGGGGGAGAAGGAACTACAGTAATGCAGTGTCAGGCGAGAATAGATTGCGCTTATCTCACTTCTTATTACACTCTGACCGTCAGCCTGGTACGACTCGGAGTTGTGATTCGGTGTTCAACTCTGAGCGGCGGCGCGGAGATGAGGTTTAGTCGGCTCTCATTGGCCGTATGCTGTTTTGAGAAATAAGAGGCGTGGTTCGTTGACGTAGGCTGTGGTGATTAGTGTACCTTGGAGGTTCGCAGAGTCTGGTTGATGAGGTTACTCCAGCTTCTCTTGGTTTGTTTTTCATGGCACACGGTAATGCGAGCCAAGATGAAATTGTCTGGTAAACAATTTGGAAAGAGGCAATTTGATAGTGAAAGATGATGTAAGAAGCTATTCCTGGTGGCTGCCGTTGGTTCTCGGCGCGGCAGTTTTGGTGACTGGTATTGGAGTGTCTAAACTCCAAAAGGGGTCCGAAGAGGCGAAGGCGATGAGCTCACGACAAATTTAGAACTCGTTTCGAGATACTCAACCATTTTGATCACGGATAGCCTTCGAAAACAAGTATAAAACGATCCATCCCATCCGCTCTTCAATCCAACTCTTTACCCCATCATCAGCAACTTCCCCTTCCTTCACCTCCAATCCAACCAACAAAACCAACCAACCAAACCCACTTCATCCAGTCCCCATAAACCTCAACCAACCCCCAAACCCAACCTTCAAAATGCACCTACCTCTAACCACCCTCCTCACCACCCTCCTCACCACCCTAGCCATCGCCGCCCCTGCTCCTGCCCCCGCTCCCGAGGCCGCCCTCGAACCACGCGCCCAAGACCTCATCGACCTCTGGAAGAACAAAAACTTCCTCGACCTCAAGTTCACCGGCTCCGCCAACCCAGGCGACTGCAAGAACCTGCCCTCCAACTTCAACGACATTGCGTCTTCGGGTAAAGCCAAGGCCGGGTTCAGATGCACGATTTGGGTCGATGCGAACTGCAGGGGTACGGGCTTCAGTTTTAATCAGAACCCTGGGTCGGCGAGTTTCCCGGATTGGATCAATGATAAGGCGAGTAGTTGGAAGTGTGTGAGGGATTGAGGTAGTTGGGTGGGCTGGGGATTGGGTGTTGGGTGTTGAGAGGTCCGGTTGGGAGGAGACTTAGAGATGAGAGTTGAGATGAGACTTGAGACGAGAGTTGGTTGTAGGCATGGCTGTGATGGGATTGAGGAGGGGAGGAAAGGAGGGGAGGAAAAGGAGGGGAGGAAAGGAGGGGAGGAAAGGAGGGGAGGAAAGGAGGGGAGGAAAGGAGGGGAGGAAAGGAGGGGAGGAAAGGAGGGGAGGATAAGGGGAGGTTGGGAGGAGAGGATGAGAGGAGAGGATGAGAGGGGAGGATGAGAGGGGGGGATATGTAAGGGGAGGAAAGAGGGATGGGTATGAGAGGTAGAAGTTGAGAGTCGGGTACTGGGTGAACGACTCGGAGTGTCGAAGTCTGGTGTCGGATTGAAAAAGGGAAAAAGAACCCTGGTTATTTTGCCCTATCCTGTCTTGTTCTGTCCTGTTCTTGCTTTCCTTTCAATTTCTTTTTGCCCCAGTTTGTACTTAACCCCCAGCATGCTACTTCCATCTTCAATAAAAGGCCTTTTTACACACTTCCAGTTCACCTCGGAAGATTTTGTGCAATGAAATGTTTCAAACAGAACACGGCAGTGTAAACAGTTAGAACAACACCATCTATAGAACAATTCCGGGGAACAAGAAAAAATCCTCTCATTGAAACAAACAATAGTAGTCTATGGGGTATCAGAATGCATGTCACAAACTGGTGATTAAAAAACAAAATCTCCAATAAAAAAAAAAAGGAAAAAAGAAAAGAAAAAAAAAAGGAAACCCAGTAGGACGGGGAAAAGAAACTGCAAGCTTCTTAGTTCCCCTCTGTCCTCATCACCCCGACATTATCATGGTATCTCAACCCCGTTCCTTTCACTCCATCCCAGCACGGTCTCCGGATAGCTTAGCGGAGCGCAGCCGTAACTTCGATCCCGAACTGGGTTACGATGAGGGATCCAATCCTTATGCGTGCTGGACAAGTTCGCGGCCTCAACCCCAACCTTAAGTACTCCCTCACGGGGATATACCAGGAATTCTCGAGGACGCAGGTGCGTTGTACGAAGATAAGACTGCGTGAAATCCGGTCAAGACTGCGTTAAGCTGAGCAGGCCTTTCCCCGCGCCGAGTCCTTGTTATGTCATGTTTGTTGCGCTGTCTCGCTGTGTAGGTTGGCTCTCGTTGCTTCTTAGGGATTGGCAGTTCCGTTATTCGGAGCACAAGCCCTGTCTAACCCCTTCCACCATGCGCAGTTTCAGTCCGTCATCAAGGATCCCCCCCCCTCCCTCTCTCCCCCTCCCCATTCTTAGGTAGTTGGCACCTAATACCTAACACACCGCCAACTACTAGCCCGATCATTGATCCAATCCGGGAACCTTGCACCAGACCCCCGATCGTCAAAAGTAAAGTTCCACTTGTTGGTCCGGCAATTGGCATCAGGCCACACCGTGCAATGGTACCCGGGTCGGGCGCGGCCGCTGCTGAGGTTGTCGTTGAAGTTGGGCGGCAGGTTGACGCATTGCCCTTCGTATGCGGAGCCGGTGTACTTGTCTCCGTAGTAGTTGGCGTTGACGAACATGTCGACGATGTCCGGGGTGTTGGCTTGTTGGTAGTAGTTGGACTCCGGGGCGGGGGCGGCGAGGACGACGGTGGATGGGGCGGTGGTGAGGCCGAGGCCGAGGGTGAGGAGGATGGTGGTGAGTTTCATTTTGTGAGTTTTTTTTTTTTTTTTGGTCTTTCTTTTTTTGGTTAAATGGTTGGTTGGGTTGTGATTGCTCGTTTGTAGTTGGGAGGAGAAAAAAGATGTTTGATAGGTAGGTTGTTTGGCTTTGTTCTGAGAGTGTGAAGCTAGGTACCTTATCTTGAGGTAAGGTAGCTAGCTGTGATGGCGTTTGTCGGTGTGTGTGATGAGAAAGTCCGACGGAATTCGGAGCAGATGGAGGATAGTTTTATACCTACCCTGAAGTTTTCTGGCGCCTCATGTCGGAAGCACCGAGGAGGGTAGGTGTTGATGATCATTGATCTTCTCAACTTACCTGGCTGTACCCACTTCCGGGACTGGGCAGGTAAGCCCTCTTGAAGGTCAAGAAGAACTCGGGCACACTTTGTCTCCTTTCCTGTGGTTGTCATGACATCCTGGATCCGAACCCAAAAAAACCATGACCATGACCAGAAACCCAAAGCTTCACCATCGACACCCAAAACCGTAGCGAGATAGACCCCCCCCCACTTTTCTTGGGTGTGTACGTCATCGCCATGCCCTTTTGTATATTGCAATTTGGATTGAAGCTATTGCCATGTGTGCCGCCGGTTCCATGGCCGCTGCTGCCTTCAGCGTTACCGCTACCGCTACTCGACAGTTAATGATGCGTTTTTTTTGTACATGAAACTTTGATCATAGGGCGAGGTTGAGGTAAAGCTTCCACTTGGCATGATACCAAAAAAAGGGGGACACATACAAGGACATCTCCCCCAGCCAGTACTTACTTACAACTAGGTAGGCATAAACGAAGGGTAGGCATAAACGAAGGGTAGGACCTAGGGCAGGCTCACAAAGCCCATTGATACCCGACTGAGGAGAACTCCGAATGCCTTCATGTTCGTGATCTGCTCTAATCAAATCAAAAAATATGGACCCTTTTGAAATGGACGTTTTCAGGGGGAACCACGCTGACCCTTTCCTGAACCGGGTTTAAGCGGGAAACGTCCATCAGATGTGGGGTTGCCCGGTATCCAGTTCACAACTGGATTTTCCCGATCCTGTTGGAATGTCCCGATTCTGAGAAAGGTTTCTGGAAATGAAGCATTCTTGGGGTGGGAAATCTCGTGATCTTTTTGGTCGTCGCCGGATGTAAATAATGGCCAAGAATAGCAGCTCCTCTCACGTAATCAGCTTTGGTTGGGCTTTCACCAGCTCCCCAAAGTAAAAAGGGGCTTTCCAACCAAGATCATCGTCTTGGCTGCCGTCCAACCGTAGGTAGTCAGTCTAAGGCCTAAAAAGGCAAGCCGAGTCCCGAGCAAGCGGTGCTGCCGCTTGTTCACAGGAAGAGACAGAGAGAGAGTGTGTGTGTGTGTAAGGGCATGTCCAGTGCTGCAATACCATGGTGTTGTGGGTAAAAGTTACCTTAACCCATGGATCATCATGCGGAAACCGTTCCGATCAATTTGGCGGGTGTGGTGCGGTCAGTGGTAGCGTAGGTAGGATGAGAAGGGGGTTGAAGGAAGGGTCCAAAGGGTCCTGGGGTGGTGGGTAGTGTAAATTGCGTGGCAGATGCTGACGTTCAGATGTGAGGTGGTGATGCCCCGTAAATCTAGCAGATCTGTGTTGTTTGATTGGCTGGAATTGGTTCAGCCGCCAGCGCCAAGCCACATCACCGCTGCACCGCTTCAGACCCCAAATACCATAGTGTGTGTGTAATACGAGGGCTGACACAAGACAGTTTAAGATACTTCAGAAGAGTGAGGTAAGCATGTGTAAGTAAAGAACTGGGTAATCAACCGGCAGCGGCACTTGTGAGTATTGAGACTTTTGTACCTACAACTGATCCTGTCCTTGTTGTACTCGACACATGAATGTTAAGCTGTTGTCGTCGTACTTTCTGGACTTCGACAGCGTTCGACATTATGAAGCAGTTCATGAAGATGACCAACTCATTACAGTGACGTAGTTGTTACCCAAGCAGGTGAGATGGTAATGTTATTGCTCGACCACTGGACCAGCTTCTTGGACCCAAAATGTCAAGGGGTAGGGAAGATGATTGGGTAAACCCAGCCATGGGATTCTGACAGCGGACACTTGCCCAAAGTCGATCCCGATGATCGAGGAATCGAAATTGTCGAACTCGGGATATCGGCAGTATGAGCAAGGGGGCAAATAGCACTTTGATAGAATCAAAAGGGGATTGACACAGACAGACAGGCGCGCAGGCCCCGGTGGGAAGGGGAAGCTGGCCGGGGAGGAGATTGTCCATCGACGCGCGGCTTGCTAGCGTATACAGTCTTTTTTCAATCCTCGACGAGACTGTCCGTGTCCCTTGGGGTGAGATGAGGACCGTCTGCGGCAGGGTGTTGTAAATTTCCGATCTGCAACACGTGGCCGTCCTACCATTCATCGGAGCAGATTTCTAAGCCGGTAGGCATAGGGACCGCACATTTTCCGTCATGGGCACTCGCCGACGCCGGTCACCATTCATCCAGATGTTCCTCTCGTTGATCCTTCATGTCGCTCCCATTGTTGCACCGGTCACACGACGGCCTTGCCTCAAAAACAGGGTATGAATTTTCAGACTGTCATCATGAACCTAATGCCAAGGCCAGACGGCAGCAGTCTTCGTATTCGTGCTACAGGAGTCTTGCTTTGCTAACAAATCCGCCCCAGCCCGAAAAGTGGTGATGTAGTCCGGATCATGGTGTAGTAGCGGTGTTGCAGCAGCCAGAAGTGCTGAATGTTTCCAATCCTCTTCTTCCGTCAAGCCGCCACTGCAGCGATAGCGACAGCGGCAACAAAGCAAGCCATAGTCGTCCACCAATACGTCCTCGTTGTTGAAGAAAAAGAACTGCCGAGCCTGAGCCCGAATGGGGGCGATCCGCTTATTTAAGCCTAGAGGGGGGGTATTTGTTAGTACCATGTCTTGTGTGTGATCGGTCCAAGTGTGAGGTGGTAGTGGTGGTAGTAGTGGTGATGAATGTGGTGATGGAAGGGACGGGACGGGAGCGGTTGGATGTGGTCGTGGTGCTGGTGATGCTGGTGATGTTGCGCGGGATCGGTATCGGAGACAAGCGTAGACGTACTTCTTCTTGGGGCGGAGCTGGTTGGTGTGGCCGCACTTGCGCTTGCGGCAGTTGGTGGCACGAGGAGGGAGACGAGCGTAGCACTTGCGGCTGTTGCGAGTCAGTCAGTATTTCCGTCGCTGATTGTTCGCTGTACCTGCTGCCAGACAACAACAGAGGTTCGTCTGGAGGTGGTGGTGAACATACCAAATCATCTTGTCGCAGTTGAACTTCGACGCCAACTAAAGTAATAAAACACCATGGTCAGACTCTGCATATTCCTCCAATAACAATGTGGTCGGTCGTTTGATTCATGGTGGCGGTAGTCGTCGGTATCGTGGTCGTCTTGTTGTCGTCGGAGTCGTCGTTACTGGTCGCTGGTCGTGCGGCCTTTGTCGTGATGGCCTCTTGTCGCCTTGTTTCTTTTTTTCGAGGGAAATTCGTCGGTTGGATTTTGGTGGGAGTCAACAACGGGGGCTACTAACCGCCTTGAGGGATGGTTCAATCATCTTGACGGCGACAGTTAGTACTGATGGTCAAATTGGCAATAACTGGTTGCTGCTCAACGCACCTTGACGGATCTCGAATGGGCTCCTCGTAAATACCGTTGTCGCTACACTTCGGAGAGGAGGATTGAGTTTCGCGACTGTCATTGAAAATTCACCTTGTGTGCGGTTAGTCAGCAACCATTCTGTGGGGGCTTGCGAAGCGCACAAGGTCACGCTAGTCTCTTTTGGGGCTGGCAGGTGGTCTGTGCCATCCAGTGTTCGTCTGGTTGCCCAGGGCTGACGCTTGGTTCGTCCATTTCTTGGCCTCCGTTCTACCATCTCCGTGTTGCCCGACCACGTCCGACGTCGTCATCAGCAGCCGGTCCCGATCACGCCGGCTTTGTGTCCGGATGGCTGGATCTGTGATTTTCAACGTGGTTTACTTCTCTGTCAGGTATCAACTGATTGACGTACAGCTGGGGCTCTCAGAAGCCATGACAACCCCAATTTCCTCTCTTATCCTCTTCACTAAAGCACCAGCCAGCCCTCAACCCTCTCACACACTCACCCCGGGAACCCCAAACCAAACCCGCCCTTCCGCTCCACCCACACCACAGAAAATCTGCCCTTTATAAACCCATCTCCCACCAATATCTCCCATCATCCAATCGGGACCATCTCCTTCAGATCTTCGGATCTTGAATCGGGTATGGTGTAGCGGTAACATCGTTGACTCTCACTTCTTAGGAGTGACTGCTCTCTCAACAGCCCCGGGTTCGACTCCCGGTATCCGAGTCTCAATATCTTTTTGCGTTTTTTGTGGCGTTCCTTTTTTCCTTGTGCTTTGTGTTGCCATTCCCAGTCCGGAGCAGAGCAGCGCAACGCAGGTCCTCCTTTTTTTTTGTGTGTGTGTCACAGAGAGGACAACAGTATGTGTGCACGGGCCATGAGAGGTGGTTGCGCAATACTATGAACAGAACATAACGGTGCTGCCGTGAAAAAGATCTTATTAATCAACAAATGTTTCTGCTCTTTAACTAGGTAGCTTGCGAAAAAGTAGATCTCATAGGATAAGCTACGTATCACGTTATCTGAGAAATACTAGGCGAGCACAGAAAGAAAAAAGAACAGATCAGAGCCTCTTATCATGCATGCCGTGCTGGCACTTTAGTTGTGAAACGCAAACGGCAAA